ATCATCAACAATGGCCCACAAAGCTCTGTCAAATAGTCAACAAACGACGCCACATCAGAAATGATGGCCCACAAGTCAAACGGTCTAAGTTACGTGACACTTACCACGTCAGTATACTTTGAACAGAAGATCAAAGACTTGAAGACCTGAGTTGGGAGCAGGACTCAGAATTATTTGGGATCCGAGGAGGTTCTTGGTTTGGTGGATGAAGTTCAGGGCTCGTCAAGTTAACACTTGACCCAACTCGTAGAAAGAGATACCATTTTGACTCCCATATATTTTAGACCCATCTTAATTAACATTATAATAATGTTAATGGGCCCCACATATGATGTCATATGACATCACCCCCTCTTACTTGGCCTATATAAGGATGTGCTCCAAGACCAAGTGAAGAGAGAGCAAAAAAAAAAAAAAAGGAGGAGGAAATAACTTCTCATGGTTTTTCTCTATACATCTTCACCAAGGGAGTCAATGGTGTACTACTACACTGCCATCTTCACCCTTTCTCTCGAGTTTGCTTGTGCTTCCACCTCTCTCAGTCCACCTCGGATTCTATATGTTATTTGGATCACTCAGATTTGTGTATGATATCACCATTTATATGTATTTTATTGTGTTATGAAAAAGAACCCCCACAGAACTGTGCCCTTAAGAAACTGGGTCTTGGACGTTCCTCTTTTCATCAGGGGTTCCTCTTTTCTTCAGGGTTTTTCTGCTTGTCGGAGTGGTTTATTTGGATCTCCTCTTGGTTTTTTCTCCTGATGGTTTCCTCTCTGGTGATCTTGGGTACTCCTTTCTCTACTTGCCGAACCGGTAACCATGCACAGTGAGATGCAACGCTGATGGTTTTTAGTTTTGGAAAATTTGATGCCCAATCTGTGCAAAATTTTCCGTTCGATCCGGGTATTGCTATAAGTTCTTGTGTTTTTATGTTCATATTAATTTTATCTCTGTGTGTTTTGCTTTTCGGCTTTTTTGGTTTGCCTCCCCCTTCTTTCCGGGTTTGGCTTCCCTTAACGAGTAAATTGGCTATGAGCGACACGCCTATTCTAGTTGCCAATACCTCTGGTCTGGGGATGGGTGCTGAGATACGGTGTATCACAAATATCGGTGATCTTCTGGTTCATGGGTCAGTGTCTGTTGACGGCGAGGAAGTGGAGGTTTCCCTCCAGTCGACGCTCTCTTTTTAGTCAACATCCATCACTGATCCTCTGCTGTATTGGCTAAGTGCCGCCTTTTGGTCGGTACATGGTTTGTATCACTGCACCGGTTCAACACTTGAATCTATGGTGGTGTTTGCAGGTATCTTTTTTGGTATGCGGATGTGTCCCTTAGAAAATCATGGTTTGGCGAAGCTTCGGACTATCAGCAGCGTTTTGGTTGCTAGCCCGGGTCGCCATGGTTGCTCTATTGTGAAGGCTTCATCGTTCCGGGCTTGGTCGGCACACTCACTTCTTCCTAATTCTCGGTGGTCGGCTGATTTGGATTTTCCTCGAATCCTCCGTCCTATAGTTGACTGTCAAAATGAGCATCAAAAGTCAAACGTAATGATGATTTTGTGGCTTCAGCGTGGTGTGCACGTTAAATTTGTGGCTTCACCTTTGGGGTGGTTTATATTGTATCCATTACACCACGTAGGAAATGCAGAGATGGTAGTTTTCCTGATGCCTACGGAATTTGTGGCTATGGGCTTTGTTTGTCCTCAGACCCACTTTGATGTCACTATTGTGGGCAGCCCATTAGTCTTGTCATCTGACGTCCTGTTGGAGTGTGCAAAACCCAATGGACCTATTTGGAGGTGGCTTAGCCCAATCATTGGTGGGTATATTCAATGGACCCAATGTCCAGTTTGGTGGTGTTTTAAGACCCTCTTTGTGGCTTGCCCATAAGCATTGCCAGTTGATTCAATTTTTTCCTTTTCTTGTTAATATATATATATATATATATATATATATATATATATATCAAACTCTCCAGATTTTACTGATCACATAAGTCGACAGTTTCTTACTTGTGGAGAATCTTCCTAAGGGGTTTATCAGTCAGCACCACTATAGTATAGGCCTGGAAATAAGGTCTAAGTTTTATAGTTGACATAATTATAGTAAATGCCAGTTTCTCCATCGTTGGATATCTTTCTTTTACACTTCTCAGTGCTAGATTAGTCAGCACCACATGTCTGTTGCCCGGGAAATCAATCGACTCAGGGCAATAATCTTTCTAATGAATGCGAAATAAACTAAAATCACTTTAATTTTCCCCAACTATACGAATAATCCGAAGTAGCACAACTTTTTAACTCAAAATCTCAATTCGAATTGTAAATTTGAATTTAAAAATTTAAGAATGAGTTAAACTCCGTTATGGTAATTAAAATTAGGGATCGAATTAGGATTAAATTAAAGTTTAATATTTCATTTACGGGGCCGGATCTGAATTGCACATCCAATCTGCCCAACTTGCAGCCTTACATACTGCATAAGAAATAGACGGGGCTTGGGAAGAGGCCCCCAAGCCATGCTGACCCCTTTCTTTATTATTAAAATATATAATAATATCATTTAATATTAATTTTATGATAAAATATATCAAATACATACAGAAAATTTTAACTTCATAATTTTTCTTTTTGATTATTATTCATCAAATACTTTACACACATATTAATGTTAAATGCTTTGTTTTTTTTTTTTTTTTTTTTTTTTTTTTTTTTTTTTTTTTTTAAATGCTTATGTTCTCCTTTATATATACTTGTTGTATTTCATACATTTTCTAAGAATTGACAAACTATTTTCAAAGCTTAAACAAACGTGACCTTGTAGACATATTGTGTTTGGACTCAGGCCATCAATCCAGTAATCCAGCCCATTCTTCATGGACTTGTCAGTCACTAGCTGAAGCCAGTCCATTGTCTATAAATATTAAAAATCAAAATTACACTAAAAATCTCATTCTATATATGGATGCATAAATTTTTAAATAAGGGAATTTAGATTTAAATAGAAAATTATATATTGAAATTACAAACATAATAATGCCAATGTTAGCAGTAGAAAATTGATAAAAGGTCAGTTTTACCCTTCTAATACCTAAAATGATCGAAGACAAATATTTCATAGGCAAAACCATAAAATTGCACACATTACTGTTAATAAGTTGAATGATCGCCACTCACACAGATAAACTTTGATGGAATGTAAGTGAAATTTACCCTTTTTAAAATTATTGAATTATGATTTGTGATAATTGAAATTTATTTATTTATATTGGTTAAACACATACACACCCTCAAATACCCAACCAAGGGCTCCAATGAATTTGCTTATTACATAAAAGAGATCTAACTAGTATAACAATAATATGGTTAATATGGTATGCATGTGTGTGTATATATATATATACACACACATGCATACCATATTAACCATATTATATATACACACACATGCATACCATATTAACCATATTATTGTTATACTAGTTAGATCTCTTTTATGTAATAAGCAAATTCATTGGAGCATGTGTGTGTGTATATATATATGTGTGTGTGTGTGTGCGCGCGCGCGCGCAATAATTGTTTGTGTGGTTGTATAATTAGAATCTCAGTCTTCCAATTCCCTGTGGCAGACCATGTTCAAGGAAATGGGTGGATCTGAATAATTTCCAATGGAGATATGATCAACAATAATCTTGTTAACTGCCTCAGTGTAGTGAACTCCATCCCAATTTATTCTCTTTGAGGGGTCTTCGCATGATCCCACAAAAAATTTGCTTCCATTCAGTCACAGTACTTCCACAGCCTGCAGCGCTATAGTTGTATTTCCCGCCATAGCCACAACAAGAAATAGTTGGATACGAAAGTCCTACAGTTTACCAACAAAATAATTAATGTAAATTAATTAATACACGCCCATATATATATATATACACACACACACATATATATATTTACACATACACTGATACAGACAAATGTTCATGTCATGCATTAGAGAGTTGAACTGCTCAAATTCGATTTGTTGAATGAAATTCATTTCATGTTAATTAATCAAAAAGAAGTGCTAGACAGTCCCCGAGTGCTTAAGATAATCTTGCCGACGGTCCAACAACAATCGCCAATCACAAATTTCTAGTGCTCTTGTGATTGGTTTTTAATGAGGAAAAAAAAAAAAAAAAAAAAAAATTGCAACATTTGTTTTGATTTGTTAAAAACCAATTACACTAGTGTTAGGCAATTGTAACGGGAGTGGCTATGACTAACACTTCTCTTAATCAAACATATAATTGGTTTGACAAGACTTGAGAAAAATTATATTTGTTGTTAGAAGTGACCGTCAAAACACTGTTGCTTGTAGGGGGTTGGGTTGGGCCGGGCTGACAAAATTGGGCTATGTCAGTAACCCGAACTTGAATATTTTCGAGTCAGGCGGGCTGGCCCGTTCAACCCTTTTCTTTTGTTTTTTTTAATATGCAAATTACATTTGTTTCTTTTCTCGGTTTGAAACATCAAATTTTTTGAGAATTTTTTAATTCATTAATATTCTTTTGTTTTTTTTTTTTTTTTTTTTTTTTTTTCAATCTAATCAAACGGTTAGTCTTGAGACTGAAGTATTCAATTATTAATTTTTTTTGTACTTCCAACTCTAATTTTATTTTTATTAAGACAAAAAAATAAAACTTTCCTTATTTTATTTTAAATATAAAAATAAAAAACTTTTAATTTTGGGTTGGGTTCGGGTCGAGCCCGAGCCCAACCCGAATACGCCTGGGTTTTGAGAAAACCCAACCCAATTTGAACCCGATTGGAAATTTAAAAGCCCAATTTTAAAAATTTTCGAGCTAAGTTCGGGTTGGATTAGGTTAGCCCGCCCAAATTTCACCCCAAATTTTGTCACAACTTGATTCATTTGTAATTGTAACATTGAATTATGTAACATGAAACATAACGTACCACATTTTTGTGGATGACTGATGATCGTACTTGATGGTGTAGACATCTACTGTTCTACATATGTGATTGCACCTAAAGGAAGATCCTTCCCGAGTTGAGCAACCGCCTCCTTCAATATGTAATTGTAATACTGAGATAACTGATTGAAAGGAATTTCACACCCTACATTGTCGTTTTGAGCCGCTGCCTCCGGAAAACTCGTCAACAGAAGGGGAAGGCAGCCAAAGGGGTCGGTGTTCTGGACCCAAAATGATCTACCTCCCAACTTGTATACATCTTGAAGTATCATAATCTCACCATTATACCAATTCTAATATAATCTCAAATTTCTAATTTTCATTGAAAACAAAAAAAATTATTCTTATAATAATCTACCCCATGCAGAGGGACGCTTTGCATGGTATTCAGAAATTAGATAGGGCAAAAGGCCCGGATATTCCAAAAAAATTCGACTTGCTTGGTTGTAACTCTCAAAACAATTCTTAAGAATTTAGATAATAAAAAACTGGTTTAAGAAAACTATAAGAGAACAAGAATTAACATTAATTTACCATTTTCTTTGTTGGGCATGTTTGGTTTGTAATTATGGAAACAGTTTTCTATTATTAGAAAACAAGACAAAAAAATCTGCTCGATGCAGTTTTCTGAAAACTCGGTTCTAAAAAGGCAAGAACAGTATTTTATTGTTCTTTGAAAACTGTTTTGCGTTTTCTGAGTTTCTGAAAACTAACATAACTGAGTATTCACAATAAAAAAATTCAAAAAATTGAACGAAATAGAGCTTTTTATACAATTTTATGTTTCAGTTTTCTAGAAAACAGAAAACTGTTCTCAGATTTACAAACCAAACAGGCCCAACAAAGAAAATAGTAAATTAATGTTAACTCTCATGAGATTCATCATAATTTACACATGCCTCTCTTCTTACTTGAAAAATTACATTGACTGGACTCCCCAATATACATGGGTTTATAATAGGTTCTGCTTCTGTTAATGGTCAACACTAGTCAACAATGATTTTTTCTAACATTCAACAATTTGAAATTTCAAAATTGGCATTTAAAAAATACCAAATTTTTCCCTAGTAATTTTGGTTTTGTTCAAGTCTTGTAAACTTGTTTAATTGAATTAACATTTCATCTAGATCATAAGTGCAAAATCATATAAGTTTATAACTCATTAATGGATCTTTTTTTGTTTTATCATTTTTGTCAAGACACTTGCACACCCTTTTATGTTAACAAGGGGGCTCAAACCTTCGCCTTCCACTTTGAAAAATAGAAAAGATATCATTGAGTTTCGCTCGATAAATTAATGGAATTGTGAAAAGATAATAATTAATGCAGAATAGTGGGACGAACAAGAAAGAGATGCATTAACTACACACATGTCCATAGAAAATACATGATCTGGGATCATATGGTTCAATCACACGGTATTAGTATCACGCAACATAAAGTTAAATAAAATTGATATATTTAATAGCATGAAAACTCGTGATTGACCGTAACCACATTATCCCGAACCATATAATAATTTCTTGGCACATACCATCCTCCTTTTATAATGAAGATTACCTTGATAGCATTGGATAACCTATTGATTAGGGTTGGTATAAATGCATTGACTTCCTCTACGGTCCAGTTAGCAAAAAGTTCCATAGCCATATCATTATGACCAATATCAAATATATACAAAGCTTCCTCAAAGGAGTCCTCTTCAGGCATTAGATCCTTGAATATCCCTCCTATAAACACAATCAAAATTCATATCAATGTATCTTATGCCATATATATATATATGCAACCACACATAACAAAAACTTTATATAATTATGTTGATGCAAAAATTTGTACACTCCGGAGCCGGTGGTGATTCTTACAAGACAAGAGAGAACTAATGACTTTTTAGGTTGACTGATGACTTCTTTTATAGAAGCATTAACGGTAGTAGTTTTCTATCATGAAACAAATTTACTTTTCTTATCCATTACGTATTTAATAGTCATTGGAGAGGGTAATAGTTATTATTTCTATCTCCTTAAGTTTATCCAAGCCCTTTGAGTTTCTGTGTCACTTGGAATTCTTATCTAGTCGAATATTCCGTATCAGTAGTCCCTCATTCCCGAAATCTGGCTTGTCAAGTGTCGGGAATGCCAAGTTCTTCCAAGCTAAGCATACTTGATGGCTACTTTCTTGCCCCTTTTAATAAGGGAGTGGATTTGCTCGAGCTTTGTGAGCTCACCCTTTAATAAGGGAGTAGTTAACCCATCGTCTCTTTACCGAGGGAAGAAGATGAAGTTGACCCTTCGTTCCTTTACGGGGGAAAGAGGTGTAGTCTTAATAAAGGTGACCCTTTTAATACGAGAGGTAGTCGTCTCGTCTCTCTAGTAAATGAAGGAAACTTTAATTATCTCACCCTTCTGTGTAGAAGGAGTAGTCATTTTTTCGTTCTTTTAATGATAGAAGAAGGCATTGTCAACCTCTCGTCCCTTTAATAAGGGAAGAAAGTGTAGTCGGACTCTTGTCTTTTTAATGAAGAAATGAGGTGTAGTCGGCCTCTCGCCTTTTAATGAAGAAATGAGGTATAGTCGGTCTTTCATCCTTTTAATAAGGGGGCCTTTTAATACAGAACGCATTGACTTGATCCCTTTTAGTACGGGGAAGGACAATTGCGAACTTCATTCAGCTTGGATCCTTATAGTATAGGGTAATTTGATTTCAACCCCTTTTAATGCGGAGGACGACAATTACGAGTTTCATTCAGTTCGGCCCGTATAGTACGGGGCACTTTTATTTCAACCCCTTTTAATACGGGGAACGGCGATTATGAGTTTCATTTAGCTCGCCCCTTTAATAAGAAGGTTCGTAGTAATTCTGAGCTCGCCCTTTTGATCGAGTCTCAACGTGATTAGCCAATAATATCCTCGTCTAATGGCATTGTACGCTAGGTACTAATTCTTGGATGACTTTATGCTTCAAAAGTGTGCTCGTCAGTCATGCTCAAGAAGTGAGCAAAGATGGACCAACCTTATACTAATGTTTATATGTGTTGAAAATAATGTGCAATAAATAATTTTTTATTTTTATTTTTCAAAATCTTACTGCTTTAAGAAACTAAGCAGGGATACAACATAGCCATAAAGTCTTGTGTGTTGTGTTGAATGTGAGAATCTCAAACCATATTACTTTTACTCAAGAATATTCAAATGCTCACTCTCATTAAACTATATATGCTCCAGTCAGAAAGCACCTTTAAATGCTAAAAAGGATTATCAAGTGCATATAGGAACAATACTCACACTCTAATTAGTTAAATCATAAAAAGTAGTGATATGATCAATTCTATATATGTACCAATATGTATATATGTACCATAACTCATGTCTATTAATGAGTAGATTTAAATTTATAAATATAAACATGTTTACTTTACATGCCATACTATGGAGCTGAGTGATGTCACTGTTATATACAATACATATGTCGCTCAAAGCATGCAACAAGCTATTGGACATATATTCTTGAAAATTTATTTTATATATAATAATCCCAAAACCCCAAGGTCTTGGACTTTGTGATCATATTAAAATTACAATGAATCGAAACCACTTCAAGATAACAACGGTTACCGAAACATATTTCTAATATTATTACTCATAGTTATGGATAGTCATCGTAATTTTCTAATTGAACCAGGAAGGACAACTCATGTCTCCAAGGTTCTTAAGTTTTATTGAATTAGCTAGTCAACTTCAAGAAAATTCATTCCTTTTTTTTTTTTTTTTATTTTTTTTTTTTAACAATTTTACAAGAGGGCAAGAATTACTTACACTAAAAATATATAGAGCTGCATATGACCTATCAATGGACATATGCAACAGTAATATATCAATGGCGAGACAGTTTAAGGAAGCTAAAAGAATACACGTAGATATACGTCATATAAATAACTGTCACACTTGATGGACAATTTTATTTATTTATTTATTTATTTATTATTATTATTTTTTCCCTTCGGCCTCTGAAAAGATCTTCAATGAGATGTACATTATCAAATAGAATGGTGGGTGAATGCAAAATGTGGTCTACCACCAAACCCAAATTATCTTTAGGCCAAACACAGGGAATGTGATCATGTAATAATAATTGGTGCTTCCAAACCACTAAACCCAAATACCATTGGGTGCCTTTTAAGATACTTATTGTTTAGTATGATCTAATCTAACTCATGCTCATAGAAAGATCATCTGTATATGCTCATCTATGTAGTATAAAATATATATGATATATATTTATACAAGATATGTATCAGAGCATATATGAGAGAATTGGATTTATTGAGTATGAATCAACCACAAATTTGATAAAAGTAATAGATACGTACCTAGTTTCTTGGTTGTAGATATCGATGGAGACAGAGACCTATTCGTCACTAAACTCATGGCATTATTATTTTTTTTTTGTGATCGATTATGAACGAAACGTAGTTGGCCAGTGTCGACGACAAAGGCCAAGAACACAAACATCGTTATAGATGAATAATTTCTAGGTCATAATTTGTTGGGACTAACACACGTTTCTCATAGACGGCGCCAACTGTTGATGCAAAAATCTGCACACTCCGGAGCCGGTGGCGATTCCTGCAAGACAAGAGAGAAGTGATGACTTTTTAGGTTGATTGATGACTTCTTTTATAGAAGCATTAACGGTAGTAGTATTCTATCATGAAATAAATTTACTTTCCTTGTCCATTACAGATTTAAGAGTCATTGGAAAAGGTAATAGTTGTTATTTCTATCTCCTTAAGTTTATCTATGTCATTTGAGTCTTCATGTCAGTTGAAATTCTTATCTAGTCGAATATTCTATATCAAATTAGAACTATGAAATTGAAATTAACAGTGTTATTTAATGCATAACTTACCCAATTTCTTGATAAATTGTGATTTGTTTATGAACTGCTCGAATTCTCCATCTGTGTAGTTGGTTCCCAAAGAATTGAGATAGGTATCCAGAAAGGAAGACCTAAACGTGAAGCTGCAAATGCACAATTTTTGGATCAGTGAATGCAGCAAAATTTTTGTCATACCCTCGGTGTGGCCCATACTATGTTCGCTCTCTAACCCCGCAAGTGGGCTTCTATTCTTAACTCCATCATCCTTCCTAATTCTTCTGTTTTAAGGTATAGGACAACTTAAGGCAAAATATATATATATATATATATATATATATATATATATAAATAAATAAAAATAAAAATACATAAGAGAACCCATGATCTCTATCTCTCACCAACAGTCGCTCGAACCTCCATGATCCAAGTAACAACAAAAATAAGTGTTACTAAATCCAAACCATTAAAGCTCTTGAAGACCTAAAAAGTGTGAGAGTGAAATCAACTAAAATCACTTTTATTATTTTTTATCCGTTGAGATTAACTATACGAATAATCCGAAGTAACATAACTTTCTAACCCAAAATCTCAATTCGGGGCTTGGGAAGAGGCCCCCAAGCCATGCTGAACCCTTTCTTTATTATTAAAATATATAATAATATCCTTTAATATTAATTTTATGATAAAATATATCAAATACATACAATACATAATTTTAACTTAATAATTTTGCTTTTTGATTATTATTCATCAAATACTTACATACATATTCATGTTAAATGTTTATGTTTTTTTTTTTTTTCTTTTTCTTTTTCTTTTTCTTTAAAAATGCTTATGTTCTCTTTTATATACATACTTATTGTATTTCATACATTTTCTAAGAATTGACAAACTATTTTCAAAGCTTAGGGTCAGTTTGGTAGAGTAGAAAAGGGAGGAAAGGGAAGGGAAGGTGATGAAGGGGGATTAAAAATGTGTGTTTGGCAAAAATTGTTGAAAGGAAAGGGAAGTGAAGGGAAGGGTTTGGAGGGTTAGCTTGTGCCTTCAACAGTAGATTTCTTAACCTCCCAAAAATGGGAGGAAATGAAGGGAAAGGGAAGGAGAGGCTTGATGGGTGATTTCAGATGCCAATTTTACCCTCAAGATTGCATAGAGAGAGAGAGACCGCCGGTGATTGAAGCTTGGAACGGCGACCCGAACTGGAACAGCAGCCATGGAAACTGAAGGATATGGGTTTTGGATTTTCTGAACAATCTGAAATGATACATCGATACGGGACTTTTGATTCTTCCAAACAGATAGATAAACTGGAAATATATGGGTTTTGAATTTCTGATTCTTGTAGAGAGAGAGAGAGAGAGAGAGAGAGAGAGAGAGAGAGGCCAAGTTCAGTGTTGAGAAGGAGTTGCAGAGATGGAGCGAGATTGGGGAGGCTTTGCCCTATTTTTTTATTTTTCTTTTCTTATGGCCTCAAGTTAAAGACTTTATATATATATATATATATATATATATAATAGAGATGGAGGATTAGGGAGGCTGAAATGATTTGCCCTAATTTTTATTTATTTATTTATTTATTATTATTATTATTTTTTGGCAAGTACATGAAACTATATATATATATATATATAATATATATAAATATAAAGGGGTATAATAGTCCATATGTTAAAATAATTCCCTTCTATTTCTTTTCCTTTCTTTTCCCAAACATAATTATTGTCCTTCCCTTTCTTTTCCTTCATTAATCAACCAAACGCAATGGAGGTTTAAAATTATCCTTCCTTTTCCTTCCCTTCCCTTTCCCTCATAACTAATGTTATCCTTCCCCTTCAAACCCACCGTACCAAACAAAGCCTTAAAGAAACATGACCTCGTGGACACATTGTGTTTGGACTCCGGCCATCAGTCCAGTAATCCAGCCCATTCTTCATGGACTTGTCAGTCCACTAGCTGAAGCCAGTCCATTATCTATAAATATTGAAAATCAAAATTACACTAACTAAAAATATGGATGGATGAATTTTTAAATAAGGGAATTTAGATTTAAATAGAAAATTAAAAATTGCAATTAGATTGGATATCAACCAGAATCCTTAATAAAAATAGTTTCCTTAAACTTTTTTTTTAATAGGGTAAATTTCATTTACTTCCTCTACGGTTTGTCAATATCTCACATTAATTCTTCTTTGTTTTATAATCCCACTTACCTTTCCTGAAGTGAGACACCTGACGGGAAACAAACATAATATGCTAATGTTAGCAGTAAAAAATTATTAGAAGGTCAGTTTTGCCCTTCTAATAACTAAAATGAATGAAGACAAGCATTTTATGAGCAAAACGATAAAATTGCAATTAACAAGTTGGACGGTTGCCACTCACACAGACAAACTTGAAGAAATGTAAGTAAAATTTACCCTTTTTAAACTTATTGAATTATGATTTGTGATACTTGAAATTTATTTATTTATATTGGTAAAATACATACTCACCCACAAATACCAAACCAAGGGCTCGAATGTATTTGCTTATTACATAAAAAGAGGCTAATATGGTATGTATGTATGTATGTATATATATATATATAATAATTGTTTGTATAATTAGAATCTCAGTCTTCCAATTCCCTGTGGCAGACCATGTTCAAGGGAATGGGTGGATCTGAATAATTTCCAGTGGAGATATGATCAACAATAATCTTGTTAACTGCCTCAGTGTAGTGAACTCCATCCCAATTTATTCTCTTTGAGGGGTCTTCGCATGATCCCACAAAAAATTCGCTTCCATTCACAATCACAGTACTTCCACAGACTGCAGCGCTATAGTTATATTTACCGCCATAGCCACAACAAGAAATAGTAGGATACGAAAGTCCTGCAGTTTACCAATAAAATAATTAATATAAATTTTATAGATATATATATTTACACACACACAAATGTTCATGTCATCTTACAGAGTTGAACGGCTAGACTTCGACTTGTTGAATGAAACTCATTTCATGTCAATTAATCAAAGAGAAGTGCACAACTTCCTAGTACTCTTGTGATTGGTTTTGTGAAATAAAAAAATACAATAGTTGATTTGATTTATTAAAAATCTATCGCCTAAGTGCTAGGAAATTGAAATTGATTTTTAAACAATTACAAACAGGACGAATTCAGAAAATTATGTAAGGGGCGCCTAAGTTGTAGGGGCAATAATGGAATTTATATTATAATTTCTGGAAGTAATTTTAAAATTTAATAGGTATTTAATACAAAAAGGAAACAATTGGTATAAAATACCATTAAAAAAGAAAAAAGAAAAAAATAGTTGAGGGGTCTATGAAGGCGACCGTTCGCTAGCACTTTTCTTAATCAAATATATTTCTTGGTCCAATAAAGTCATGGAATATTTTGATTTATTTATTTCTTATTTTACATAGAAAGAATTTACCTGGATCAATACATGATTTTCTTTTGTGTTTCTAGGATTGGGTATTATATTGGGAGGTCCAGGAGTAGCATTACTTAACAACACAATTATTATTTTTTTTTGGCTTTTTCGTTGCAATTGGAGGGTGGCATTTGATAATTCAATCTATCACTTTTTACTTTTTGACAGTGACATCACTTTTTACTACATGTTTGATACCGGTAATTTTTTAAAATTAACGTGTTTAATAATCATTTAGTCTAGCACTTAAAATGTTAGACACAACTTAAAACAGGTAAAAATTTTAAGCGACACAGACCTTACTTAACACTTAAAATTTAAAATTTAAAATTCAGTATTTGAAATTTTCAATGCTTAATTTTCAGTTTTATCAAACAACACCTAAGTTCTGAATGCTAAAAATTTAAAAAGATATCAAATTTTTTTTTTTTTTTTAATTTCCACTTAAAAACTTGAGCATTTAAAATTCAGCTCTTAAAACTTTCAATATTTGATTTTTTTTTTATTTTATCAAACAGCTAGAAAAAATAATATTTATCGACAATTGCTTGTCGCAACTTACAGCAGTGCTCCAGGACATTGATTCATTTGCAATCCTAACATTGAATTATGTAACATGAAAAATATGAAAACGGAACGTACCATATTTTTGTGGATGACTAATGATATCGTACTTGATGGTGTAGACATCTACATATGTGATTGCAGCTAAAGGAAGATCTTTCCTGAGTTGAGCAACCGCTTCCTTCAATTTGTAATTGTAATACTGAGACAACTGATTGAAAGGAATTGCACAGCCTGCGCTGTCGTTTTGAGCTGCCGCCTCCGGAAAACTCGTCAACATAAGGGGAAGGCAGCCCATGGGGTCAGTGTTCTGGACCCAAAATGATCTACCTCCCAACTTGTATACATCCTAAAGTATCACAATCTTACCGTTACACCAATTCTAATATAATTTCAAATTTAACAAAAAAAAAATTATTCTTAGAATACTCTACCCTATGAGGGAGGGACGCTTTGCACGGTGTTCAAAAATTAGACAGGGCAAAAGCCCCAGATATTCCAAAAATATTCAACTTGTTTGGCCTGTAACTCTCAAAATAATTCTTAAGAATTCAGAGAATAGAAATTAAAATATTTTCAAAAGGAATTGTAAAAGACAGTTTTTTGAAAATAGATAATTTTATAACTAAGTTTTCATAAAGTTTTTGAAAAACTGAACCAAGCAGAGTTTTTTTATACAGTTTTATGTTTTCAGTTTTCTGAAAACAGAAAACTGTTTTCAGAGTTACAAACCAAGCAGGCCCAACAAAAAAAAAATAGTAAATTAATGTTAATTCTTGTGAGATTTGTCACAATTACACTCGCCTCTCTTTTTAGAAAAATTACGCTTACTTGACTCCCCCATATACATAGGTTTGTAACTGGTTCCGCATCTGTTAATCGTACCAGTCAACAATGATTTTTTACTAACATTCAACAATTTGAAATTTCAAAATTGGCATTTAAAAAATACCAATTTTTCCCTACTAATTTTGTTTTTGTTTAAGTCTTGTAAAATTGTTTAATTGAACTAAAATTTCATCTAGATCATAAGGACAAAATCATATAAGTTCATAAGTCATTAATGGATTTTTTTTATTTTTTATTTTATCATTCTTGTCAAGAAACTTACACACCCCCATACGTTAACCAGGAGACTCAAACCTTCGCTTTTCACTTTGAAATATAGAAGAGATACCATTGAGTTTCGCTCGATAAATTAATAGAATTGTAAAAAGATAATAATTAATGCAAAGTAGTGAGACGAATAAGAAAGAGATGCATTGACTACACGCATGGCCATATAAAATACATGATGTGGGATCATATGGTTCAATCACAAGGTATCAGTATCACCCAACAAAAAGTTAAATAAAATTGACATATTTAATTATGTAAAAGCTTGTAATTGACCGTAACTACAGGATGCCGAACCATGTAATAATTTCTTACCACATACCATTTATATTGAAGATTACCTTGATCGCATTGGATAACCCATTGATTAGGGTTGGTATAGATGCATTAACTTCCTCTACGGTCCAGTTAGCAAAAAGTTCCATAGCCATATCATTATGACCAATATCGAATGTATACAAAGCTTCCTCAAAGGAGTCCTCTTCAGGCATTAGATCTTTGAATATCCCTCCTATAAACACAATCAAAATTCAATGTATCTTATGCCATATATATAATATATATGTTGGGCTGCATGGAATTGATTTGAATTAAATGTTCTCTATTTTTAATTTTAAGGTATCAATTTTAGGCAACCACACATAGCAAAAATTTTATATAATTAAAACTGTGAAATTGAAACTAAGAGTGTTATTTAATGCATAACTTACCCGATTTCTTAATAAATTGTGATCTATTTATGAACTGCTCGAATTCTCCGACCTGCACATCTAAGTAGATGGGGCTATATCCGCCCACCGGAAGAATAAATAACGGGGGTGTGATCGTTGCTGCTGCAGTGGCGAAATTCACTCCATGTGTGTAGTTGGTTCCCAAAGAATTGAGATAGGCATCCAGAAAAGGAAGACCTAAACGTGAAGCTGCAAAAGCACAATTTTTGGATCAATGAACGAAGCATAATTTTTGTTATAGTAATAATAGAGGAGTTGTTTAATTTCGAGTCAACTAAAAAGGCTAATAGTATTCAAATAAAAGACTACAGATTCTAGCTCTCTCCAATTGGTACAATAATTGAAATCTATAATCGTTAGCAGTATTGTGAGTATATGTGCATTTTCGAGAATATATATATATATATGTATATATAATTTTTAAAATAGCAACATTCTCTATCTCTCAGTAGGTAAGACACATGTCTATTCAACTTTTATTAGATAAGTGTAGATCCAATGAAATTAACATTTTCTCACAAATTAACAAGACTAGAAGTCTTCTGAACCATCATTACATAATAATTAATAATATAAAATTAGGATTAAGTCGGAAAAATCATTAGATGATCATGTCTAATAAAAATTTTGAAACTAAAAAAAATTTGACTCACTAATGTATAAGTAATTTGAAAGTCAAATTTATCTTACCGTTCAAAATAAGTGAGAGTGATACTATCTTGACGTTATTAAATCATAATGTCATCTCTTAAATAAATTTAATCGACTTTGTCTAATTCTCGAACTTTATATCATTACTATGTTCAATAAAATATTACCACAAAAATAAAAATAACAAAATAAACTATTGAGCATGAGTTTTGATGGTGGTGGACTACAGAATAAATTATGAGTCAAACCTAAGTGACAGTAAGCTAAAAGTGAGGTCCTAATGCATACCAATGAAATCGATAATGAGCCTTCCATCGGAATACCTCCCGTTTGGCATGTGAAAGAAGGTTTGTCCATAAGGTGGAGTGGTCCAATTAAAGGCTGCCTGCAGTCCACCGGTGTCCGAATTTGAGTCGCCGAAGTTGAAAATGGCCGGAAAATCACAAGTATCGTCAGCAAAAACAGGGTTGAGGACAGTGGCATAACACAGAAGCATGCAAAAACAAGAGAGAGTAAAGACAGGTTTGATCATGTTTAGACACTCCATGTTGTGGAAGAGAACATAAAAATTAGAAACATGTATAATGAAGCCAGAGATAGTAATTGTGTTTATATAGTGTGACAAAGGTAAGACTTTTCAATTACGTCTATAAGAAAAATACAATATGTGTGTGTGTGTTTTTCCACACATGTTTCTAAAAATATGTTGGATTGGTTTTATTGTTATGGTCTACATACAATTAATGGTGGTGGTGGGTTACGTATATAAGGTTCCAAGGGCAGTCAGTTTCAAGAACACTCTTGTGATTGTTTGCATGACAAAATAATTTTCAAATCATCATGGTTTAATCGACTCTTTTACGTAAACAAAATGATTAATGAGGAATGTTTTGATTTGAAAACTTATAATCCGTATAATACTAAATATGTTATTGATGTATTCTTAAAAGCTTAATTAACTTTTTGAGTGGTCATTTTTCAATAATCAAGTTAATAGAACGTCAAATTTTCTAAATGGTTGCAGTCACGGAGTATCTTTCCTAATTTGTCAAGAATAAAATAAATTCTTGAGTTTATTGACATATTATTTGAAAATTATAGCCTTTATCATAATACTACAAGCTATTTTTGTTTTGATTTTTTTTTTTTTTCCGTTAATAATACTTCTATATTAATACCTTTTTAAAAAAAATTGTTAAAATATAAAACATAATATTATATTTATTCTAAAATGTTTAATTTAAATTTACATTTTTTTTTTCTTTTACCATGTTATATATGTATAAATGTTTATTCTTTTATTTTAATCTATTACTATTCATTGATTTAGTAAAAATATATACTTATTAATATTTTAAAATAAAGACAGTGATTTAAAATTTATAAATAAACTGTTACTCATGTTTAATAGTCTTTAAAAATTCAATAAAATTTACTAAAAAATAAATAAATTATTACTCATGTGATTAATCTTTAAAAATTTAATAAGTTTCACTAAAATTTCTTATTTATCAAATTATATTATAAAAAATTACATATCGATATATTTTGGGCGTGGAAAAAAAATTATGATTGTGATAACTAACATATACGCCGAATTGAAAAACTTTGGTTAAGGCTAACAGTTGTATATTGTTTCTTATCTTATATATATATATATATATATATAAACCCTTTCTGAAAATTTTCTGGACAGTCAATCTTGTCCTTCTCTTTCTTTTTTCTTCACTTAAATCACTCTATTTGGTTGCAGTGTTGCGCACTTAGAAACGTTTCTTGAAAACATGGACTTTTCAAATATTGTCATGTCTTAGTTGTGTGGGATCCATCCAAGAGTTTATTATTATTATTTTTTTTTGTTTTTGAAAGTTATCCACCCAAGAGTTGTGAAACAAAGTTATCATCAAATTTGTCGGTGGCGTGTTGAACAAGTTGTTTGTGTGGTGTGGAAAATAGATACTGCTTTCAATAAATACGGAGTAATTAGAATTGCACATGGCTGGCTCTAATACGAGAGTAGATGGAAACGGGCGCAGTTAGCTAAATTCATAAAAAAATTACCAACTTCATTCTTATTTGGAAATGAGTTTGTAAGTGGTATATTATTTTTGTTCCTACTATTGTAAATAAAATATTAATTTCAAATAGCGTATTTTAGCTAATTGCGAGGAGATTATGTCACTTTCATTATTTAAGAGAAAAAAAAAAAAAAAACAAAAAAACAACCCAACGTACTCAAATTGAATTGATAAATAAGATGGTTTAGTTTTTAAATTACTAAATAGTGAATATTAACATATTAATTAAAAGTAAAAATATTTAATATATATTTTATATGTATAAATATAATTTTTAAAGGTACATATAAATATAATTGTTAAAGGTACATATATTTCGTTTTGGGTTTTTAATTGTTTTACCATATTCGTCCCACGACAAAAACTCACCGGTTCAGAGAAAATTGTCATTCCTAAATATACTGGAATCTACAAATTAAATGTAGATATATTAAAATTTGAGTTGATATTAAAAATTCTTTAAATTAAAAATTCTTTAAAGCTTAAATATATCTTCGTTATAACGTGTATCATTACAAATTTACTAAATAGGACATAGAAATTCACTCATAAGTCATAGCATAATATGCTAGAGGACGATATTTCACGGTGTATCCGAGCCTAAATCATAGTTGACAATGGTACACTTGATCAAGCGTGGATGGTTTGGCATGCCTCAGGTGTTGATATCCTGATCAAACGGCTACCTTTCCTAATGCCAAGCTTATCCAAAATATATATATATATATGTATATGTATGCTTATCCAAAACAGTCTTAACATTTCAAAAAAATGATAATCTTGAACAAGTTATCATAAGACTATGTAACTAAAATCTTGACCAGAAATTAAAACAAGAGAAAACAACAGCAGAGATTGAAAATTTTGGCCATGGAATTAAGAAGAAAAATACAATATGTGTTTGTGTGTTTTTGGCCATGGTCTACATACAATTAATGGTGGTGTTGGGTTACGTATATAAGGTTCCAAGGGCAATCAGATTGAAGAACACTCTTGTGATTGTTTGCGTGACACAAATAATTTTCAAATCATCATGGTTTAATTGACTCTTTTACGTAAGCAAAATGATTAAAAAGGAATGTTTTTATTTGAAAACTTATATAATACTTAAATATGTTTTTGATGTATTCTTAAAAGTTTAATTAACTTTTTGAGTGGTCATTATTCAATGATCTAGTTAATAGATTTTTTTTTTTTTTTTTTTTTTATTTTTTATCCCAAAGTTAATAGAACTTCAAATTTTCTAAATGGTTGTAGTCACGGAATATCTTTTCAAATTTGTCAAGAATAAAAAAATTAAAAAATAACTTCTTGAGTTTATTGACATATTATTTGAAAATTATAGCCTTTATCATAACACTACAAGCTATTTTGGTTTTGGTTTTTTTTTTTTTTTTTTCCGTTAATAATACTTCTACATTAATACTTTTTTTTAACAAAAAAAAAAAGTTAAAATATAAAACATAATATTATATCTATTCTAAAATGTTAAATTTAAATTTACATTTTTTTTTCTTTTACCATGTTATATATGTATAACTGTTTATTATTTTATTCTAATCTATTAGTATTCATTAATTTAGTAAAAATATATAATTATTAATTTAGTAATAAATAAATTATTACTCACGTTAAATAGTCTTTAAAAATTCAATAAAATTTACTAAAAAATAAATAAATTATTACTCATGTGATTAATTCTATACATTTTGGGTCTTATGCGGGAAGTGAAAATAAAAATAAAAATAAATTATGACTGTGATAACTAATATATGCACTGATTCTAATACAGCACGACTGATATTAAAAACCTTGGTTAAGACTAACAGTTGTATATTGTTCTTATCTTTTATATATATAGATATATATATATAAACGCTTTCTGAAAATTTTCTGGATAGTCAATCCTGTCCTTCTCTTTCTGTTTTTTCTTCACTTAAATCACTCTCGTGTTGCACTTAGAAACGTTTCTTGAAAATTTTGCGGACAGTCGATTCATTAGGACTTTGACAAAATAAGAAATGACGTGGTGTCATTTAACGGAAAACATGACTTTCCAAATATTGTCATGCCTTAGTTGTGTGGGATCCACCCAAGTTTTTTTTTTTTTTTTTTAAAGTTATCCACCCAAGTTGTTTGTGTGGTGTGGAAATAGATACTGCTTTCGATAAATAGTTAGAATTGCACATGGCTGGCTCTAATACGAGAGTAGATGGAAACGGGCGCAGTTAGCTAAATTTTTTAAAAATTACAAACTTTTTTGTTTTTTTTTTTTTTACGACAATTACAATACCAGGTTAGTCGAAGGTGATAAAAGAGGCAGCAAGAATCGAACACTGGCCTCTGGTGTGGCAGCTCCAAGTCCTACCAACTCATCCAAGCCCCCGGGGGCAAAAACTTCATTTTTATTTCGAATTGAGTTTGTAATTGGTATATAATTTTTGTTTTTATTATTGTAGATAAAATATTAATTTCACATAGTGTATTTTAGTTAATTGCGAGGAGGTTATGCCACTTTTATTATTTAGTTTAAAAAAATAAATAAATAAGTCCAATGTGCTCAAATTGAATTGATATATAAGATGATTTAGTTTTTAAATTACTAAATAGTGAATATTAATATATTAACTAAAAGTAAAAATATTAAATATATATTATATATATATAAATATAATTTTTAAAGATACATATATAAATATAATTTTTAGAGTTACGTATATTTCGTTTTGGGTTTTTAGCTGATTTATCATATTTGTCCCGGGACGAAAAGTCGCTTGATCAGAGAAAATTGTTATTCCTAAATACCAAGGAATATAAAACAAAAAATTAAAAATACCAATTAAACGTAGATATATTAAAAATTGATTTGATATTAAAAATTTGCATATTTTTTCGTATCTTTAAAATTTGAATATGTCTTCGTAATAAAGTGTATCATTACAAATTTACTAAATAGGGCATAGAATTTCACTCAAAGTCATAACATAATCTGCTAGAGGACGGTATTACATGGTGTATATGAAGCTAAATCATAGTTGACAGTGGTACACTTGATTGTTGATATAATGCCCCTGCCATTACATCATCAATCAACAATCAACAATCAAGTGTACCATTAAAATCGTACATAATATCAACAGCTCCGGTAAGTTTGGTTACTAGAGGTGTTGATATCCTGATCAAACGGCTAACTTTCCTAATGCCTTCTTGTTCCTGATATTAAGTCTGAGCTTTTTGTTGCATGTTGTTTGTATGACCACATCCTTCACATGATGTTTGTAATCTTGATGTGCAGTGTTTATTTGTTTGCCATGATAAATAAAAATAAATAAATAAATAGAGATGGTTGATGTAACGTAACAAAATCGTTTAGTACAGTGATAATTTTATTTTAAGAAAAAGTAATTTACACTAGTCAAAAGAATAACAGATGGATTAGTTTTTACAACACAATTTAATAAAAATAAAAAAAATTATAGAAAATTTTTAGTAATTCTTATTGAATTTTTTCAGA